TTTATCTGCTTATTGTCTAATAATTTTCAAGTGGTTACAAGGTTTGATCTTACATAATGTGACAAAATACACTTGGCCCTATTTTTGTTTTGAAGTAGAGAAATTCTGTTGGATTAAACCTGAAGTGAGATGAACTTGAGTGAAGTTTTAAAAAATAATTATGTCTCAAAGTTGAATTTTTACTGAATAAAAAATTGGGCACTAATGTCATTCTTTGCTTTAGGAAGATTGTGGGAATAACTAATAACACTTGAGGAGGTTAATATACCATTGAAAGTAGTAATTTTAACAGTTTTGAACTCCTGTTCAAAAGATATAATTGGAAGAATTTTCAATAGACATCAGTCTTTATTTCTTAGGAAATTACAGTGATTGAATTAACTGCAGGCAGCCTCTTATTATTACTTGAAGATAATAGGAATCTGTTGAGGGTTAGTGTGGAAAAATGAATGATACATGTTCTATTAAAGACTCCATAGTGGGAAAAACTTTTTTTTTTGCCACTCGGTATTGCCATAATTTATTTATTCAAGGCATAATCTTCAATGCAGGTTCCTTTATAGTATTTGGCCTAAAAACTAATTCCAATGAAGAATGAGAATAATGCTTTTCCTAGGATTAAAGCATAGATTTTCTTTTAAGGGAGTGCATAAAATGCTAATTCAAGAGGAAATGTTAAACTTGAAGAACTCTGTGCACATAGAAAAGAGTTCAGTTCCTTCTTTGATTTTTTTTTTTAGGACTTTGCCCCCCATTTTCTATGAAATTGAGCACCAGACAAGGACAACAATATCACAGTCATTATTCAGGCATTTTAAATTACTCTTTTACTTTGAAACAAGATATTCGAATCCTGGAGTGTTAGGGAAATTGTGCATGGATGAAGCAGTAAATGGATTTTGATTTGTCATCTCAGCCTGAGGCTTTCAGGAGGTGGTAAAGTGGTTTTTATCTGTGGAAAATAACAGCCAATTTTCTTCAAGATCTTCCCAAACTCAGAATGATTCAGATAGTGTATCTGAGTCTAATCCCACCCAGATAAGCATCTGCAGTCATCCTGACCTGGACTTGGGTGGTGTTGCTTTTTAAATTTCAGTGTGACTATAAACATTGTCTGACTTTCTCTCTGCTTAGTAGCCTAGAACTATAGGATGAGAAAACCTGTTTGGGCTCTTGCTGGCTGGAGTGTCTACTTAGAAATTCATGTTATTGGTTGCAACTCAAGTTGCACATGTTGATTCCCAAATTTTGCTTGACTTGACCCTAAACTAAATGTCGCTGGGAATGCAAAACCCAAAGGCAAAAAGAAAATAAGGGAAGTTACCTAATTTTATATACTAAGAAGTTCTGGTAAGAAAGCTGATTACTACATCATGAAATGCTTTTGTTCACTGCTTTGGGAAGTAGAAGGAAGGGGCATTAAAGTCTTGCTCTGGGGAGAAAGGAAGTGCTGATAAGTTATTACTTAAACCAAATTAGACAAAAATAGGAGCAGAAGCCAATGATTTGACATTCAATATAGCTAACATTCATTTACTTTTACACTTTTTACACTGTTTCTGGTTTAGCTATTGTAATTTCAAATTATTATAGTTTGAAAATATTTAGATGAAACATAACATACTACCTTGTAGTATAGTACAGCAAAATAAAAACTAAGTCATAGAGTTTGGACAATGGGCAATATGGGGCACAGAAAAAGAGTATCTAGATTTATTTGACATGCAAATAGAGTTTCTGATGTTAGGGTGAGATGTGCATTCCTTCTGCACTTATATTTTGGCTATGGAAACAGTCTTACTGATCATGGGAACTTGGATACATTTCCATTTAAAAAGAGAAAATAATTAAAGAAAATACCTGTCTGGGTGGCAGTGCAAATTGAAAAAATAATCCATTTTTAAAGGATGTTGTGAATTATAAACTGTGACATGAAATTCACTTCAAAAGGGGGCAATTATTAAGTGTTATTAAGGATTCAAAGAAAATATTAATCTAACCTGTTATGTGCTTTGTCTAACCTATAAAAAGAAGATAAGGATTCCAACCTGCAAGTCTCTTTGCCAAAAGTGTTCAATCTGAGCTTGATTCAGAAATCCAGAGTAAAGGATGTTATGCAAAGCAACTGGCCAGCACTCTGTAAATATGTCGGTTACCAAAGATAAGAGGTGATAATAGATGCACAACCATGGCCATGGCTATTCTTGCTTGGATACTGAATATAAGCAAATTAATATAAAACCCTCCAAACTGAGAAGGCAACTGTTGAGACAATTGGGTAAATTTTAACTGAATAATAACTGTATTAGATCATCGTAGCAATTTAAAATTCCCTGCCTGTGATCATTACTGTGTAACTAAGTAGAGCAATTGTTCTTAGGAAGTAGATGCTGAAGTATTTAGGGATGAAATGTCTTCATGTCTGCCACTAACCCTCTAATGATTCTGCCAAGTATTTATACAGACAAAGATAAAAAAAAAAATCCAGCAGGGCTGGCGCTGTGGCATAGTACATTAAGCCTCTGCCTGTGGTGTTGGCATCCCATATGGGCACTGGTTTGTGTCCCAGCTGCTCCTCTTCCAATCCAGCTCTCTGCTATGGTCTGAGAAAGCAGTAGAAGATGGCCCTTGTGCTTGGGCCCCTGCATCCACATGGGAGTCTAAGAGGAGGCGCCTGGCTTCAGATTGGCTCAGTTCTAGCCATTATAGTCATTTGGGGAGTGAACCAGTGAATGGAAGACCTCTCCCTCTCTCTGTCTATAACTCTACCTCTCAAATAAATAAATAAAATCTTAAAATAAAAACTGGCAACATGTTAATAATTTGGGAATTGAGGTGAAACTATTTGTTCACTGGTAACTCTTCCTACAACTCTTTTTAAAATGGCATTTGAACATTTCCAAGGTCAAAACATTGGAGAAAGATGTGAAAAGTGAAAAAATCAAATACTCAACTAGCTTAGTTCTTAAAATACAGACCTTGGAATATTAGCACATCCTTTTCTGATCATGCTTTCTACCATCTTGTTTTTTTTAAAGATGTATTTATTTGAAAGGCAGAATCTTTCTCTTTCTTTCCCACACACACACACACATACTCCTATCTGCTGGTTCACACCCCAAATGCCCACAACATCCAGGGTAGGGCCAGTTTGAAACCAGGAGCCAGGAGCTCCATCCAGGTCTCCCATGTGGGTGTCAAGGACCCAATCTTTTGAGCCATCCTCTGCTGCCTTTCCAGGCACTTAGCAGGAAGCTGGGTCTGAAGCTGAATTGTGCAGACTTGAGCCAGGCAATCTGATATGGGATGGGGTGTCTCAAGTGGCACTTACCCTGCTGTGCTGCAATGTCTGCCCATCTACCATGTTATTTTACTGTGAAATACAAATGTATAGGTTAAAAAGAGGAAGAATTCAAGTTCTTTAAATTTGCGGTTTAGCTAACAAGTAGGATTATTATTTATTTGAAACATTTTCCCAGAACATTTCAGTGAAACAGAAGTTCTAAATCAATGTGCACATCTTTGGAGGTATTTAAATTCAAGTGAAATTCAGCAGACTCATAGAATGGCAGATGTCCTAAACAGCACTCTGGCCTCAGAATCAGCCCTTAAGGCATTCAGATCTGGCTAAAAAGCCCATGAGAGTATTTCAGGAATGCAAAGTCAAGACACTCTGGCAAAAAAAAAAAAAAAAAAACAAAAAACAAAAAAAACAAGAAAACATAAATGAAAGATCTCTGTGAGTGAGATCCCAGCGGAAAGAACAGGCCATCAAGGAAAGGGGTACCTTTCTCTGAAGGGAGGAGAGAACTTCCACTTTGACTATGACCTTGTATAAATAAGATCGGAGTTGGCAAACTCGAAAGGCTTCCATAGCCTTGGCAACTCATGACAAGAACCTAGGGTGATTACTGATGCCATAAACAAGAGTGTCAATTGTTAAATCAACAACAGGAGTCACTGTGCACTTACTCCACATGTAGGATCTTTGTCCTTAATGTGATGTACAATGTGAATTAATGCTATAACTAGGATTTTACACTTTGTGTTTCTGTGTGGGTGCAAACTGTTGAAATCTTTACTTAATATATACTAAATTGATCTTCTGTATATAAAGAGAATTGAAAATGAATCTTGATGTGAATGGGATGGGGAAGGGAGCAGGAGATGGGAGGGTTGCTGGTGGGAGGGACGTTATTGGGGGGAAAAGCCACTATAATCCAAAAGCTGTATTTGGAAATTTATATTTATTAAATAAAAGTTAAAAAAATAAAGTCAAGTGAAATTATGAGGTGGCTCCAAACATTCATGAAAAATGCACATTATCTTTTAGTTCCATTTTCCATGAACTTTTTGAAGCCTCTTTGTATATCTTGGGAGATACTCAAAGATTTAGGACAATGTTTAGTTTTATCTTAAAAATCCTTTAAACAGAGACAAGAAGAGAGGAAACTATTTATTTGAGACAGGAAGAAAGGAAGGGGCGGGGGGAGGGGAGAGAGAGAGAGATCCTTTCAGCTAGTTTGATTCCTAAATGCCGGCCAGTGGTCAGGTCTGGGAAAGCTGGGTGCCAGGAATTCAATCTGTGTCTCCCCGTGCGTGGCAGAAACTCGATTATGTGTGCCGTCACTGCTTCCTGCCACGTTCCACATGAGCAGGAAGCTGGAGTCAGGAACTGGAGCTGGTTGTTGAACCCATGTGCTCCAATGTGAGATATGGGTGTCCTAACTAACATCCTAACTATTAAGCAAAAGCTTGTCTCCGCTGTCACATTGTCTTTCAGAAAAAAATCAACTCCAAGGATCTCAGTTTAATGATTTCCTGTTAATTTATTACCTGGGTCGTCTTCTTTTCTGTGAGATCTCTCTTGGAGACAGATTGCATAGTCATCATAATGATTAATTTATTATGTTGCCTCTTATGGGGTTTGCTGATTTCCTCCTAGTCACTGAGTCCAAGCAGAAATCTCATGGCTTCCTTTCTTGTCTTCTTTTATATAGATCAAAAGCAGTAGAACTGGACCAAGGAACCTCACAACTTTTGGGTATGTAATTGAAAACTGTTCAAAAGTAGTTGTTTCTCTTAATGATATTTAAGAGCCAAAGGACTCAGATTCCAATGTGTTATTCTAATTTGTGAGCCAAATTAGAACAGCCTAGGTGTGTTTCTCTAGGCTATGATTTAGGCTGAGGGAACCTAATGATATGGAAAAATTACCAATTACACTTGATCCTCTGGCTTTTTCTTGAAAACACATTCTTGGTGGTGATTTATTTTCGATGAGAGAGCTGTTCAGGGAAGCATCCATTATTTATGGGTTGACTTTTTCTGGTTCTCTCAGGCTGAAGAACACACCATAGCTATTGAAGTACCATAGTACAACTATAATTATAGAGAGAAACTAATTCATATGCAATTGTATAGTTAGATGCCCAAAAGAGAGTCGAATGCTCTAGTATTAGGGCACTTACTGACCTAAAGCTATTAATAATTAAATTTTGTATATTTAAACATTATAATATGAAAGTAAAATAAACTTATGATGGTTCCACATATAAAGTTCATCTCTAATGATCTAGGCAAGACTGGAGTTACGTGAATACACATGTAGTTCTTCTCATTATTCTTTTGGTTTTCTATTTGCAACTTGATTTAAAAAGATTTATATGTCTAAGCTCCTGATGGGAAGATCCATCCCTACTTCGGTTTAATTCTTTCTTTAAGGTGAAGCATAATTCCAAGCTTGCTGCAGAATGCAAGGGAAGCATTCTCACAGCTATCTATCAAGAGCACTTCATTTGAGACTCTATGGATATAACTGAAGTTAGGGTAATTTCTTAGTCTCAGTGTATTAATTTAAATACTACTATATTTTTCTATGAGCCAGAGAATAGTAATAATATTATTCATCTTGTATGTATATCCTACCACTTCCAATTTTATTGTAACTATTTCTGAAACCTTGTTAGTTATCTTGACTGCTATCATGAAGCAACAGTGAAGTGACTTCACCAATCTAGTTCTCTGATATGTTGCAGGCATAGTTCTTAGTTCAAGTGTGTGTAGTGAGAGCAAAGAGTTCATGTGTAGTTCTCATTCACATGAGCCTCAATTTCTGGCTCTAGGATTATGTTGAGTTCTGTAGATTGCTTGTATAATTATTCTGACATGTTACTCCTGGGCAGTGAATATTGTGAAGTTTTATTAAGTACATTTTGAATACAAGGTTATATTTTCCTACTCTAAAATGAAAGTAGGCTTGCTGTGCCTATGAAAGTCATGTTTTAATTTTAATTTAATGTTACCAAATACCAAGTGATCTTGGGTATCCATGTATTTTTTCCCAGAATAGAAATTTGTGTAGACAAGTCTTCTACCTCTAATAAAGAAACAACTTTAACTCCAAGAAATTTTTGGCTTATTGTAAAGTAAACTCTGTGTTTAAAATCTTGTACTGAAAGTGGAAGAATAGATGACTACATATATTTTCTTCTTTAAGGTTTATAGTTCTTAATAATTAAAGGGAAGTTTGAGAAGGCTCCCTTCCTCCACACAGTCACTCAGGGATGCAGGTGGATGCACGTTCCCCTGCCTTGTGGAATATCATGGCAATTGTTGGTTTCGGGGTTTGCCTTGATGGGGGGAGTGTAGAGTGCTTACAGTCCTCCCCAGGCTCGCAGTGGTGCACATCACCTCAGCTAAGACCTGCTGACCAAGATGAACCACACAGCTTCTCTTAAATGCATGGGTCTGGAGTTCTTCCTGGGTGCCTATGGAGGAGAGAACCAAATATATACAGAACTAGTAATTTTTTTGATAAAACATACCATTAAATTCTCATATTTGACATCTACCTGCAATAACTTTCCTTCTGAAATCAGTCACATCATAATTTTTTAATGTTTTATTATGCAGGTAAGTTATTTTAATATTTTTAAATTAACTTCACATTTTAAAAACTTCAGCTAGGAATAAATAAAACAAGGGTGGCTGACAAGAAATTAGTGAAAGTACTTTGTATTATATCCAAAAATGGAAACAAAATGGTAATATTTTGACCCTCATATGTCTATACATTTATATATTTTTTGTATTAATAGTATTTTCTTTACAATAAGACCATAACTTGAAATTAAATGAAATTAAATGTAAGTTCAAATACAGAGATGATTGAGTACAGAATCAGTTCAAGGGATATCAAATTAGGAATATGAAACAATTTTAATATATTATCTACAATTTGAACTTTGTTTTTATTTAATATTTAGCTTTCTTTTAAAACCTTTTAATTTTCTGGGAGAGGGAGAGAGAGAGAGAAAGAGAGAGAGAGAGAGGAGGAGGAGGAGGGAGAGTGTTCTCATTAGCTGGTTCACTCCCCCAAGTGCCTGAGCGCTAAGAACTGAATCCAGAGGTCTCCTATGTAAGTGACAGGGACCCAAATACTTGAGCCATCACCTGCCACTTCAGAGTGCAACATTAGCAGGAAGCTGGGGCCGGGATTGGAGGGTCAGGACTCACACTTCAGCAGTCCACTGTGGGATGTGGGCATCTAGGTGGTGGCTTAACCATGGCATCCGGTGCCTGCCCCCATGAGTGAGCTTCTGAACCTTAATCTTATGTTCTTTTCCTTCTTGTCTTCCATGTCTTTATCCTTAATTTTTTGTCAGTACTATGTTTTGAAAAGACTCCTACAGACATTTAAACTCCCTAGTCTTATTGTCAACGTTCATGGTTGATGGATTGAGGATGGAGACTTGACCTACTTAGGGCATCTAGGAGGTGAGCCTAGTGGGAGGTCTTCAGGCCTCTGGGAGCTTCACTCAGAAGGCAGTCTTGCGAGAGGACAGACTGTATGGAATCTAAGAATGCTTCCAGTTTCCTCTGCTTCCCGGGTCACCATGTGCTCTTAGGGGTCCCATGTCCTTCACAGATGCCTAAACCAATGCGGTCACCTACTCTTGGACTAGGACTCTCCAAACTGTAAACAAATAAATCTCCCTTCATAAGGAGTTCCTCTCAGGCATCAGAGTTAACTAATGAAGATCTGACCAACTCAGTCACTTTACTGGTGTATTTCATCAAGCCATATTTTCATATACGACTTAGGAATAAAACAGGTTTTATTTCACCTTCATACTTGACTGTGTGTCTGGCTGGATGTGGAATCCTCTGTGCAAATTTATTTTCACTCTAAACTTCAAAGGCATCACTCAGTGCCCCTCAACCTTTCAATTTGTATGTGAGAAATAGAATGCCATTCTTATTTTTGTTTCCTTATAGATAACATCTTTTTATCCTGTCTGTTAACTTTCAGAATTCTCTGTGTATCTTTGAAATTTCACAAGATGTATTCAGGTATAAACCTTAAAAAACTTGTCTGGGTTTAGCATTTAGTGTTGTAGGAAGGTTTCTTGATTCCTCTCCTTCTCTATGATCTGATTCTTGCTGGTCTGGTTTTTTTTCTTTACCTATTCCCTCCCCCGGTATTTGGGAGGGCCACTACTACCTCCATGTATGCATTGCAGTCACAGCTAAAATCTTACAAAAAAAGACAGCCTCTTGCCTAGTATTTCAAGGAGATTTCCTGATGAGCTTGATTTCATTCACGTATACTTTTCTGAAACGATCATTGCAGCTAAAGAGACAAGTGCTCTGATCTATCTACTTCTTTCCACTTCTATCACTCTGGTCCGAGGTGTTATCATTTCTACTTTGGATCATTATAGTAGTCTCTGTTTTTTTTTTTTTTTTTTTTTTTTTTTTTTTATCTTTGTTGCTGCCTGTTCCCAATGCTGAAGCCAGAGCTTCAGATCTGTTTGTTCGATCAAAACCCTGTAAAACTTGCCTGTTTCACTTCAAGGAAAACAAATGTCTTCCACCATGGCTTAAAAGACCACCCATGAACTGGAGGCACGATCTGGCCTCCAGTATGCATCTGCTCATCTTTTACCATTCTCCTCCCATCATTCACCCAGTCTTAGCTGTGCTGGCTGCCTACTCGTGGTGTCCCTCATACCTGCCAGTCGCAGCCAGGGGTGTTTGCTTGGGCGCTCTCTAGATCTGGATTTCTCCACACTTGGTAACCAGGTGTCTCCTCACCTCTTGCAAGAGTTTACCCACATGTCAGCTGTTTGTGAGGCTGTGTCTTGCCACCTTTGTAAAACAGCAACCCTCTGAACTATACTTCTCTATTTTATTCTTCGTCATTTATCTCCATCTAATATACTGTTTATTTTAGTTACTACTATTAATTGTTTTCTTACTCCTGTGAAGTGCAAAGCTCATTAGGGAAGGAAATATTATCTATAATGTTCAATATAGTATATTCAGGCCCTAAAACTGTTGGAAGCTCATACTCAGTCAATACATATTTGATGAAAGAATGGATAAGTGAACTGGTGGCCCACCTTGGCCATATGCTGGTTCCTACATTGTAGCCTATGACTGATAGTCCTACAAGGAGGGAAAGAGTAAAAGAAGCCTGTCAAACAAAATGAATAAGTGTCTAAATAAGTAGCCCTTCTGGTGATCACTGAGAAATGGGAACCCCTATAAGAAGGGCATAGAATTAATAAGTGGAAGGAAGCAGCAGGTTCTGAAACCTGACAATAATTTGCTGTTTGATTTTGAATATATGTAATTGTCCTTTGTGTTATAGTCTTTCAATGTTAGGTCATGTGCCTGGAAAAATTATGGGCCAAGTGTTTCTATGATTTCCTTAATAATTTGTTTCTTCTTTTATTTAGAGTTTCTATTGCCACTGGTCAATGTATGAAAATATAAGTTAGATTGGGCAAGGAATATTTTATTATTTTCAAGAGAGCAAGGTTGCAAGATAAATTATCAGGCAATCTCTGTATCTTGTTAAATTTCTTGTTAACTATTTACTTGCTACCAAATGAAATTTTTGGAGTTAAAAATTGCAGGCTCAGTATTTGGCAAGTTGAGTGTTGTAATTTGGGAAGTTATTTTTTGTATCTCATTGTCCCCCTTTCATAATTGTTCTAGATTTCTATCTTATCAATTATTTCCCAAAGAACTAGA